AGCCAAAGAAAACCAAAGGAAAAAATATGATCTTTACCAAAAATCCTCCTGTGTCTACTCAGAACTGTGCCGATGAGAAGTTCAATCAGTTATTCAACTCTTCTTCCTGAACGCTCTTTTAATTTTTTCGAGGAAAGTGAAGGCAGTGAATTTATTTCACTAACAGTCACTGAAGTTCAAGAAAAATATCTAATTGGTCACTAAAATATCTTTATGGCTTATTTAGTCATCAAATGAAAATATCACCCCACTTCAACCAAGTATGATTCGACTCGGGTGAGCCAAGATGGCTCGAGGCTCACCTATTTTTTCTTAAAATTATATTTTCTCCTTCCATTTATGAAGGAAGTTTTGGGTTGGCTTTGAAACTCGTTTGATTAATTTTATAAAAAAAGAATTCTTTTAGAAAATTTTTTAGCGAAAGTTGTAAGTTCTTTTAGAAATTAATTTTTATATATCAATTATGGCGCGTTTGAGCCTCATTTTTGTGTAAAATACATTTTAAAATAATAAATTGATAGAAAATGCGTGATTAAAAATAAAGAAAAAAAATTTTAAATTACGTGTAATATTATTTTATTGAAAAATAAAATGTAATAATGTCATTTCTTCGTAAAATTACTTTTTGTAAAAAGAATAACGAAAAGCTCTATCAAACGAAAGTAAAATTGACCGGACGTGTTTTTCTCTCATAGGCTCTTTAAAAAGTGCTTACTTTTGAATCTCTGATGCTTTTTGTTGAAGTGGAGAAAAAAGAATTTCTGCCTTGGCGTTGACGGGCTTACTTAGAGGTGAAGACTTGGTGAGTCCATCTCTTTTTCTCCTCGGATTTCTTTTAAGGGTATTTTTGTATTCCTATTTTTTGGCGTGAGGTATTTTCTTTGTTGGAATTCATTCTGGGCTTGTGAAAATTGCTCTCTTTTGCTTCTTTACTGTGGAGAGATTTTCTTCGCAAATCTGAAGTAATGCGATTTTTTGTTGGGTTTTTTCTCTCTTTTGTTGACCTCATTTTCCTGTTATTATGTCTCTGTTTTTTTCTTTTCTTTTTAGTTATATGGATTGGTAATTGTTTCTGCTTGAACGCATTGATTAAGAAGTGTTTCTTTTTACTGTATTGTTAATTTCTTTCTTTTTTATTCTTGTGCAGTTAGAGATTGAGGGAAAAGGCTAGTTTTTACATTCCCATTTGGCTGAGCTACCTGAGTATGGAAGGTGAACTCATTTTGTTTGACCATGAAATTGTTATTTTTTCTTAGCCGAATTCCGTTTCTGCTTTTGAAACATGTTTGAATTTTTGTTAAGAGTGTTCTGTGTGACTAGAAGTGTTTTCAGAAGGAGCGGGCATTAGACAGCTTCCTCATGAAGCACTTTTATGAAAAGCAGAAGCAGAATGCCCGAATGGGACCCTTAGTGTGTGGAATTTGCACGTCTGGTTAAAATCCAATATGATATATTTGAGATGAGCATGGGCATATCTGTTTCTTATTTTAGCTTTCATTATCCATTTATTGGTTCTGCTGAACGAAGAAAAGTGTAAAAGTTTCAGATAAGAAGCAATTGAAGGATTCTCTGGTGGCAAGATTTATATGGAGGGTTGAGAATTTTACTAGTGCAAACGAATCAAAGCTTTACTCTCGAATATTCACCGTCAATGAATATAAATGGTATGCCTGCCTTATTACTGAAAATTATTGTTAGTCTTGCAAAATCCTGTGGAGATGATTTTTTTTATTCTTACATCTGCAGGAGGTTACTCCTTTTTCCGAAAGGAAATAAGGTTGAATATTTGTCATTGTATCTTGATGTTCCTGATTCACATAGCTTGCCATATGGCTGGAGTAGAACTGCCGAGTACAGTATAGCTCTGATAAACCAGATGGATAGCGAGAAGATTGTCAAGAAAGGTATTTATATACAACCATTAAGACGAGGATACTTGAACTATGGTACGGACTTAATCTCTTGATCTTGGACGCATAACTTTGTTATGCAGTCTGGAAGATGAAATTGCCTGGCTATATTTCTGAGTGTGTACAATTGTTGAAGTACTTTTAATCACTGGTTTCAGTATCCCAAATTTGAAATGTTATCTACTCGGTTTCACTCCATGTTGTGTCAATATGCCGTTTTTAAATAAGCTTAGAAACAGCAACTAAGCAGATTTGGCCTGTGCAGAAACAGAACACGGATTCCATAATGGAGAAAGTGATTGGGGCTTCACATCGTTTTTTCCTCTAAGTGAACTGCATGATAAAAATGGTGGATATCTTGTTAATGACACGTGCTTGATTGAAGCTGAAGTATCTGTGCCTGATACTTCTCCAGCTTCCACAGATAATGTAAGTTCTCTTTTTGTTTGAACTTTAATTTTGTTCGATCCAATGTTTTATTTGCCTGGTTCGTAGTTTGATTTCCAATTGATTGTTGTTGTCAGCCCTCGGATTCTTCTGTTCCTGTTGATCCCGTGGAATCTGTATACATCAAGGCTGAATCCTTTCTCAAGTCCATACCCAAGAAATCATTCAGCTCAGTATCTGATGCTACACGTGAAGTGCCGTTGCTCAATGACCATGCAATTTTGGCAAAAGGATGCTTCAACAAACTGATTTCGTTTCCTTTAGATGATTTGGTTGAACCCAAGCATGAAACTGCAATGAGAGAGTCCTTGTCTATACTTAGCGATAACCTTTCTTTGTTTACTGACGAACAGGCCAAAGAAATTATGAGTTTGAAAGCTAATTTTCCCGCAGCTATACAGGACTGGAGAGACTCAGTTCAAGTAAAGGTCAATAGCGAGCGTCTCTGGTCGGCTTTCGAGAAGACCAACAATTTACTGGAAGATTTAGTCAAAACTGAAGAGGGAATAAAGACTAAACTCGAGGAGTTGAATAACAGAGAAAAGGAACTGGAGATGCAGCTGGAAGGACTTAAAAGCAAAAGCCGACAACTCAAGGAGGAAAGAATAGAAATATCGAAGCAGACAAAGCAAGTTTATGCCCTTGCACAAGAGCAGTCTAGCAAAATTGAAGGCAAAGAGCCAGAGGTGGATCTTGCGAACAAGAAGTTGGAGGATTTGAAATCAAAATGGGCCTCCAGTAAAGCTCTCTTCCTTGAGCTTTAGTTTTGTTGCTTTCTATGTTGTGTAATTCTGAATGGACCAAAACTCACGTTTTTCAGAAACTAGATTCTAATGTCTTATGTATGCTTTGGCTAGGACATAGTAGTTACTCGTTTCCTTGTCTATAACTACTATGAGACGTGATGTTGATTTGTTCCTTTGTGTTTCACTCGTGTGTCGTCTTGTTATACTCTAATATCATGTTTGGCAAGGTGAATCGTACAACCTTAGATAGTATTAAAAATGAAAAAAGTTGGAACTTTTGTTTATAATACTGTGATGTTGGTCTAATACTATGCATTAGCAATGTTGTAACGGGCTACATTAAGTAAGACACATAAGCCCGATCCAGAGAGAGTAGAGGTTGAGGGTTCGACTTCTTTCATAAGGTGGATAGGGCTATGCTTTGCTCTTGTCGGACTTGTAGGGGGTGGTGTCTTCAATTTGGACTTTTGAAGATTTTGATGGGGACTTTTTTAAGTGATGATTTATGTGAATTTCATGAATTTTTTATAGATTTATTTGGAATTAGTGGAAGTCTTTTGTAGACTTCTATAAACTTTTATTTTAAAACTTTTATAGGCTTTTGTAGAATTCAAAATTCTTTTGAAAACTTTCATTTGAAATAGAATTCACGTGGATTTAGTACAATACTATGAAATTCTCACATTCAAAATGGTGGTTCCCACAATTCCGTTTATCACCCATATATAATTAAAAAATATTTTAAAAAGAATAAAAAATTAAGACCTTTTTTAAATAAATAATAATCAAAATTACGTGCGCGCACGGGCGCACACACATATAAATTTAATATTCAACATTATTAATATAATATATCTTTAAAGAATAAATAAAAAAAATATATTTAAATTTAATTATAAATTAGTTTATATAAAATTTTATAATTTAACTAAAAAATAGAAAATTTTAACTAAAAAGAATCCAATTTATTTTTTTTTCATAGAAAATAGAGAGAAACAATAAGAAAAAGAAAAATAGAAATAGAAATAGATATAATCAATAGAAAAAATAAATTTTAATCATAACTCTAATATTTGTAGTAGGGAAAATGAAGGGTTAAATTCACTAATGGTTATTCAACATTATACTTAGTGTCACCATGACTACTCAATTTGATTTTGTTTCACCATAACCAGCCAACTTTATATTTACTATCAACATAACCACCCAATTTGATTTTATTTCACCATGTTCATCCAATTCATATAACGTTTCATTATGGCCACATAATTTCATATAATATTTCACCATGATCACTCAATTTTTTTCCACCATTTTCACTAATTTTAAAAATGGGTAAAAGAGTAACTTTGTATTATATATATGAAATATTTTTTTAAAAAAAATAAATTTTAAAAACGCTTATTTTAAAATAAGTTTTTGTTTTATTTTAATTTTTTAAAATAAATTTGTATTTTATTTTATTTTTCTAAGTAACTTATTTTAATAATTTTTTTTAAGTAACATTTTTTAAAAAATAAGTTTTTATTTTTTTTAAGTAAAGATTTTTTAAATAAGTTTTTATTTTAATTTTTTTAAATTTATTTTATACACAAATGCGAAATTACTGTTTTACCCCTTTTAAAATTAATGAAAATGGTGAAAAGAAATTGGGTGGCCATGGTGACAGTTGGATAGTCTTGGTGAAACAAAATTAAATTGAGTGGTCATGATGATAGCAAATATAAAGTTGGATCGCCATTGATGAATTTAACCCATGGAAACATCATCCATCACTCTTTGGTGGCATTAAGCAAGAATTATTCATTATTGAACTTCCAAAGAAAATTTAAGAATTCACCGTCAGAAGAATTTGTCACAAAATGTAAAATGGAAAATTGATTCCAAAGTTCCATTATCATCCTAATGAGTGTACACAAGAACCTTTTGTGATAGTTTTCGTTCTATCCATCTGGTTTATCAGCTCGATACTATACTTGGCTGTTCTAGTCCACCCCTCTGGTAAGCTATCTGAATCAGGAACACCAAGATATTCGACACCATTTCCTTTTGGGAACATAAGTAATCTCCTGCAGAAATAAGAATGTAGAAATCATCGCACCATGAGATTTGTGACAGTAATAATAATTTCCAACATTTGAGGCACACCGCATACCATGTATATGTGAATTTCCCAATCGTCCATGTACGTCTTGCCCTCTCACAATCCTTCAATGGCTTATTTTCTGCAACTACTTCAATCTCTTTTTCTTTCACTATAACCCGTAAAAAGCAGAAAGAAAAGAACATAAGGAGCACATATTTCATTTTAGAAATCAGCAATTAGTTCAGCTAAGAGAAATTAACCGCTTTATGGTTAAACTAGACTGAAGAAGAATTTATTATTTTACCTTCCATATTAAAAAAGCAGAATTGGCCTTTTCCTCGATCTCTTACTGCACAAGAAGAGATGAACAATTCAGTAGGCTAAAGCGGTGTGAAGAAAAAACTGAAATTCCAAATTTGAGTAGAAAATCACTCCATAATAAAGAAGGAAAAAAAAAACCCTTAAACCTGCAGGGATTTGCTCAACGCAAGGCAAAGAAGAAAGATGATCTTCTTACACCAAGTATAAAGTTCGGTGAGATTTAACCCATTTGATTACGAAATTTACGGTTTGATGTATGATTTGAAATGATACTGTGATTAGGCCCAATACGTTAGTAATCACTTGGGCCGTTGTACACCTTACATGCTATATTATTATAATGTGGTAATTCTAAGTATGTGGGCCGAAATTATGTAAATTCTAATTAGGGTTAGAGTCGTTAATTAGTCGACTTTATGATTTCCTATATAATGGATAAGTCATCTCTCCTCTCCATATGGTTTTGATTTGCTCCATTGACGGCTGATTATTTTGAAAAGTAAAGAGAGGAAGATCTAGTTGGTAATATTCATACATAATAATGTCTTCCGCATGTATAAATTTCAAACTATTAGTTAATTATATGATTCTTACTCTTAGCATGATTACTATGGAATTATCAACATATTTCACTAACAGTCACGACGTTCAAGCAAAATATCTGCTTGGTCACTAAAATATTTTTATGGCTAATTTAGTCATCAAATTAAAATATTACCCCACTTCAACCAAGTACGGGTGAGCCAAGATGGCTCGCGGCTCACCTATTTTTTACTAAAATTATATTTTCTCCCTCCATTTATGACTTCAAAAGAAAATTTCGAGACTGCTTTGGAATCCGTTTGGTTAATTTTATAAAAAATATTTCTTTTAGAAGAATTTTTAGCGAAAGTTGAAAACTCTTTTAGAAATTAATTTTTATACATCAATTAGGGCATGTTTGAGCTCCATTTTTGTGTAAAATAAATTTTGAAAATGAAGGAAAACTTTTTGAATTGCATGTAATTTTATTTTATTAAAAAATACGTAGCCGAAAAGAAAAGAGAAAAAAGTATATTTTGAAAAAAAATAGGGATCAAACAAACTCTTAATATAATTTCCTCGTAAAATTACTTTTTTTGTAAAAAGAATAATTAAAAGCTCTATCAAATGATAGTAAAATTGACCAGACGTGTGTTTTTCTCTCATGGCTCTTTAACAAATAACAAGTGCTTACTTTTGAATCTTGAGTAAGTCTACACGTACAGGAATGGATTCACATGACACGTACCGGGTTTCAAATTTTGCTGACGTGGCATTTAAAAAAAAAAAGGGAAAACATCAAAATCCCCAAATCAAAGCCTCGAAAAACACGATGCAATTGAAAATCCTCCCCATCACAACTGAGACCTTGAGCCCTTCAAATCGTCTCCTCCATCTCCGACCAACCTCCCGGTGGCGCGTGTTTCACTGCTGGAAAAAAAGGTTTCGCCAATCGACGTTCATGAACAGTTGCCCAGATCAAAGCCGCGAAAACAAAATCCAATTCCGGGTTCCCTCCACCACAATCGAGACCTAAAGCCTTCACAACCGTCCACCACCGACGAACCTACCGACGGAGCATATTTCACTCACATGCGAAGGTTTTACCCACCATCCTTAATTTCTCGCGACTGAAGCTAAATCCACATCTTCCTTCAAATCCGGCCTTGTATGGGAGAGATTAAAAAATTTAAAATATCTAGTCAGGTTAAAAATATTAAGAGCTTGTTTGGGAGGGATTAAAATCAGATTAAAATTGAAAATATAGCCGTTATTGTTGACTTTTATTAGACGGGTGGGACCCAATAACGACCATATTTTCAATTTTAATTGGATTTTAATCACTCCCGAACGGGGCGTTAATATTTTCTTGAATTTCAACAATATGGAGAAACCCAACAAACGATGTTCATTTATATATAATGATATGTTCTTTATTTGTAAAGATTAATTTGCATTATTAATTAATCGAAGAGTGCTTCACCACTGTCGAAGAAAAGTGTGAAGCAAATATTGATTTTACAAATTGGTGAAAATATTAAGAATTGATGTTGGTTTGAACCTCATACAGATTACTTAAAAGGGTTTTGTTTATGTTGTGTAATTAGTTTTTGTGTTGCTGAGAGCTTATCGAGTATTTCATTACAGGAATAGAAATTATGGAAGACGGGTATCATGATTTATTGGCTGAATCTGATAATGCAAATGTCATGAACGATGCGAAGAAATTTAAAGATGATAAGTTTGGAGGACATGCTGTGAATATACTCGAGTCGTGTATGATGTTCAATGATGAAAAAGAAATTTTGGAGTTCTACAAAAGATATGCTTATGAAGTGGGTTTTTCAGTTAGGAAATGGAATTCGAAAAAGAGGGACGATGAAAACTTAAAATATGTAATATTCACTTGTGACCGTGAGGGTAGAAGAAGTTATGGTACAAGCAACAGATTGTAAGGTAATGATCTCAGCGTCTTTATTAAGTAATGGAAATTGGAGAGTAAACACAGCCCACCTCTAGCACAACCATAAAACGAGTCATTCAAAGTCTTAGTTGTATCGATGCAATCGAAAGTTGAACGCAAATGTGAAACAGAAGCATGAAGTGAATGATATGGCAGGAAATCCATTGCACAAAAGTTACAACTCTGCTGTGGTTGAAGAAGGTGGTTATGAGACTATGACTTTCGTGGAGAAGGATTGTCGAAATTACATTAAACAAGTGAGATGATTACGACTTGGATAAGGGGATACTGTCGCTATACAATAATATTTTTCAAATATGCAAGCACGATGCTCGAGATTTTACTTCAGTATGGATTTAGATGAGGAGTCCTGACTAAGGAATATATTTTAGGCAGACAATAGGTGTAGCAAGCATACAAGGAGTACTATGATGATGTCACCTTCGATACGACATATCTCACTAATAAGTACGACATGTTATTTGCCCATTTTGACCTATCAAAAAAAATGTTATTTGCCCATTTTGTTGGCGTCAATCATCATGGGCAATCAACATTGCTTGGTTATGGTCTATTATCTAATGAAGACACTGATACATTTGCGTGGTTATTCCATACATGGCTTCAGTGCATGTACGGTCTGGCACCGTCTTGAAATAATTACTGATCAAGATAGGGTAATGCAGAATACAATTCAGATTGTATTTCTACACACAAAGCATAAGTGGTGATGTGGTGTTTGTGGAATATCTTGAAGAAGTTGCCTGAAAAGTTTGGCTATCATATTGATAAGGCTTCGATCTTTTTGATTAGACACGGATTAGTATATAATTCACAGAGCGTTGAAGAATTTGAGTAAGGCTGGAGAGTGATGATTGATACATATAAGTTGTATGATAATGATTGGTTGTCGAAATTGTTTAAAAATAGAGATCGTTGTGTTCCGTGCTTTCTGAAAACCACATTTTGGGCTGGAGTGTCCACAATACAATGAAGTGAGAGTATGAATACGTTTTTCGACAGATATGTACATTCGAAGACCTCTTTGAAGTAATTTGTTGAACAATATGAAAGAGCACTGATGAATAAGGTTGAAAAATAGTTTCAGCCTAATTTCAAATCGTACTCGCGAATGGTACCGTGTGTAACAAATTTTGATATGGAAAAACAATTTCAACAAGTTTACACCATTTCAAAGTTCAGGGAAGTTCAAAATAAGTTCATTGGGAAGGTTTACTGTGACATTATATCTATTTCAGAGGGAGTTTCTGGGACGATTTGCAAGGTTCAGAAGGATGTATTACTATGTGGAGAGCGTCGGTCTCATTCACGAGGGAGTTGTGTGACATTGTTTGTAGTTTCCACTTATTCGAGTTTTAGGGGATACTTTGTAGACAAGCCATCACAGTTTTAATCTGTAACGATGTGAAATTACTAACGGATAAGTTTATACTGGGAAGATGGAGGAGGGATGTAAGTAGAGTACACACGAGTGTTGCAGTGAACTACAATGGGTTGGTCAGTACTCCCGCACAGTTGAGGTACGACGATATGTGCTAAGCTTTTTCTGAGGTGGCGACCTTGCTGCGGATGATGAAGTGCGGACACATGCAATAATGGAATGGATAAAAGTTCAGGCTAAAGAGTTTATGCTGACAAAGTCGAGTTGTGGTACTCACTGTAATCATGTAATCTCTCACTGTATGGATTCTCAAATTTATTTCGACATGAATGTACTAGATCCCATATCGTCTAACAGGAGGGTGCACTAACGGAACTTTGGCGAAAAGGCCCGTTGGAGTCGACCTCGAAGAAATCAAAGGTATTTTATTCTATTCGCCTATAAATTGAAATGGAGTTCGAATCTAAATTCTCATACGTACTAGATCCCATATCGTCTAACAGGAGGGTGTACTAAGGAAACTTAGGCAAGAAGGCCCGATGGAGTCGGCCTCGAAGAAATTAAAGGTATTTTATTCTGTTCGCCTATAAATTGAAATGGAGTTCGAATCCAAATTCTCATATATTTTCGATTTACGTGTAGGCACCTTCGACTTCAGGAAAAGGAAAGAGACCGAGAAATGTTAGACATCGTACTATGGAAGAGACTGCACCCGATCTTCTGGCTTCTCAACAGGGTTCATCGCTTACATCGTTCGCATGTTCGCATACCTCTTTAGTATGCATTTTGTTCATTCGTTTCGGTATATATTTTCAGCTCATTCTTTTGCATTTACTTTGAGTCTTATTTGGAGTGTTACGTGATGTAGGGTGACAGTGGCAGCCAATAACAGTTACAATGAACAGCTTGTTGATTTCACTTTTGAGCAGCAATAGCGATTTATGCATCAAATGTTTTTGTGTTGAAAAAGTATCATATATGTTTTTGTACAAATG